TAAATTTGGGTGGGTAGTGTTGTTATTGAATGGATAGTGTTGTAAAATTTGGTGGGTAGTGTTTAATTGGTGGGCTATGTTGTAATTGGCTGGGCTAGTGTTTGTATTGGCTGGGCTAGTGTTGTAATTGGCTGGCTAGTGTTGAAATTGACTGGACTAGTGTTGTAATTGGCTGGGCTAGTGTTGTAATTGGCTGGCTAGTGTTGTAATTGGTAGGCTAGTGTTGTAATTGGACTGGACTAGTGTTGTAATTGGCTGGGCTAGTGTTGTAATTGGCTGGTCTAGTGTTGTAATGGCTGGGCTAGTGTTGTAATTGGCTGGCTAGTTTTTGTAATTGGCTAGGCTAGTGTTGTAATTGGCTGGGCTAGTGTTGTAAGCTGGCGTTTGATTGGCTAGGCTAGTGTTGTAATTGGTTTAGGGCTAGTGTTGTAATTGGCTGGGCTAGTGTTGTAATTGGCTAGGCTAGTGTTGTAATTGGCTGGGCTAGTGTTGTAATTGGCTAGGCTAGTGTTGTAATTGGCTGGGCTAGTGTTGTAATTGGCTAGGCTAGTGTTGTAATTGGCTGGGCTAGTGTTGTAATTGGCTAGGTAGTGTTGTAATTGGCTGGGCTAGTGTTGTAATTGGGGCTTTAGGGAGGGAAGGCTAGTTGTTGTAATTGGCTGGGCTAGTGTTGTAATTGGCTAGGCTAGTGTTGTAATTGGCTGGGCTAGTGTTGTAATTGGCTAGGCTAGTGTTGTAATTGGCTGGGCTAGTGTGGTAATTGGCTGGGCTAGTGTTGTAATTGGCTGGGCTAGTGTTTTTGTAATTGGCTGGTTAGTGTTGTAATTTGGGCCCGGGCTAGTGTTGTAATTGGCTAGGCTAGTGTTGTAATTGGCTGGGCTAGTGTTGTATTTGGCTGGGCTAGTGTTGTAATTGGCTGGGTTGGTGTTGTAATTGGCTGGGCTAGTGTTGTAATTGGCTGGGCTAGTGTTGTAATTGGCTGGGCTGGTGTTGTAATTGGCTGGGCTAGTGTTGTAATTGGCTGGGCTGGTGTTGTAATTGCCTGGGCTAGTGTTGTAATTGGCTGGGCTAGTGTTGTAATTGGCTGGGCTGAGTGTTGTAATTTGGGCGGGCTGGTGTTGTAATTGGCTGGGCTAGTGTTGTAATTGCCGGGCCTGGTGTTGTAATTGGCTGGGCTAGTGTTGTAATTGCTGGGCTAGTGTTGTAATTGCCTGGGCTAGTGTTGTAATTGGCTGGGCTAGTGTTGTAATTGGCGGGCCTGGTGTTGTAATTGGCTGGGCTAGTGTTGTAATTGGCTGGGCTAGTGTTGTAATTGCCTGGGCTAGTGTTGTAATTGGCTGGGTTAGTGTTGTAATTGGCTGGGCTAGTGTTGTAATTGGCTGGGCTAGTGTTGTAATTGGCTGGGCTGGTGTTGTAATTGCAGGCTGGGGCGGGTAGTGTTGTAATTGGCTGGGTTAGTGTTGTAATTGGCTGGGCTAGTGTTGTAATTGGCTGGGCTAGTGTTGTAATTGGCTGGTAGTGTTGTATTGGTGGGTAGTGTTGTAATTGGCTGGGCTAGTGTTGTAATTGGCTGGGCTAGTGTTGTAATTGGCTAGGTAGTGTTGTAATTGGCTGGGCTAGTGTTGTAATTGGCTGGGCTAGTGTTGTAATTGGCTGGGCTAGTGTTGTAATTGGCTGGGCTAGTGTTGTAATTGGCTAGGTTAGTGTTGTAATTGGCTGGGCTAGTGTTGTAATTGGCTGGGCTAGTGTTGTAATTGGCTGGGCTAGTGTTGTAATTGGCTAGGCTAGTGTTGTAATTGGCTGGGCTAGTGTTGTAATTGGCTGGGGTAGTGTTGTAATTGGCTGGGCTAGTGTTGTAATTGGCTGGGCTAGTGTTGTAATTGGCTGGGCTAGTGTTGTAATTGGCTGGGCTAGTGTTGTAATTGGCTGGGGTAGTGTGCTGACCACTGTACCACTGGAGGTGTCCCGTGGCTGGGTTGGTAGCGCACTCAGCTCACATACTGAGGTCCATGGTTCGATCCCCGGTACGGTTGGTAACATTAGGACGTGTTTCCTAAAGACACCTGCTGTCAGTGTTCACCTAGCAGTAAGTAGGAACCTGGGTGTTAGTTACCTTACACCTGCTGTCAGTGTTCACCTAGCAGTAAGTAGGTATCTGGGTGGTAGTTACCTTACACCTGCTGTCAGTGTTCACGTAGCAGTAAGTAGGAACCTGGGTGTTAGTTACCTTACACCTGCTGTCAGTGTTCACCTAGCAGTAAGTAGGTATCTGGGTGGTAGTTACCTTACACCTGCTGTCAGTGTTCACGTAGCAGTAAGTGGGAAAACCTGGGTGTTAGTTACCTTACACCTGGTGTCAGTGTTCACCTAGCAGTAAGTAGGTATCTGGGTGGTAGTTACCTTACACCTGCTGTCAGTGTTCACGTAGCAGTAAGTAGGAACCTGGGTGTTAGTTACCTTACACCTGCTGTCAGTGTTCACCTAGCAGTAAGTAGGTATCTGGGTGGTAGTTACCTTACACCTGCTGTCAGTGTTCACGTAGCAGTAAGTAGGAACCTGGGTGTTAGTTACCTTACACCTGCTGTCAGTGTTCACCTAGCAGTAAGTAGGAACCTGGGTGTTAATCACCTTACACCTGCTGTCAGTGTTCACCTAGCAGTAAGTAGGTATCTGGATGCTAGTTACCTTACACCTGCTGTCAATGTTCACCTAGCAGTAAGTAGGAACCTGGGTGTTAGTTACCTTACACCTGCTGTCAGTGTTCACCTAGCAGTAAGTAGGTATCTGGGTGCTAGTTACCTTACACCTGCTGTCAGTGTTCACCTAGCAGTAAGTAGGTACATGGGTGTTAGTTACCTTACACCTGCTGTCAGTGTTCACCTAGCAGTAAGTAGGATCCTGGGTGTTAGTTACCTTACACCTGCTGTCAGTGTTCACCTAGCAGTAAGTAGGTATCTGGGTGCTAGTTACCTTACACCTGCTGTCAGTGTTCACGTAGCAGTAAGTAGGAACCTGGGTGTTAGTTACCTTACACCTGCTGTCAGTGTTCACCTAGCAGTAAGTAGGAACCTGGGTGTTAATCACCTTACACCTGCTGTCAGTGTTCACCTAGCAGTAAGTAGGTATCTGGATGCTAGTTACCTTACACCTGCTGTCAGTGTTCACCTAGCAGTAAGTAGGAACCTGGGTGTTAGTTACCTTACACCTGCTGTCAGTGTTCACCTAGCAGTAAGTAGGTATCTGGGTGCTAGTTACCTTACACCTGCTGTCAGTGTTCACCTAGCAGTAAGTAGGTACCTGGGTGTTAGTTACCTTACACCTGATGTCACTGTTCACCTAGCAGTAAGTAGGTACCTGGGTGTTAGTTACCTTACACCTGCTGTCAGTGTTCACCTAGCAGTAAGTAGGATCCTGGGTGTTAGTTACCTTACACCTGCTGTCAGTGTTCACCTAGCAGTAAGTAGGTATCTGGGTGCTAGTTACCTTACACCTGCTGTCAGTGTTCACGTAGCAGTAAGTAGGTACATGGGTGTTAGTTACCTTACACCTGCTGTCAGTGTTCACCTAGCAGTAAGTAGGTACCTGGGTGCTAGTTACCTTACACCTGATGACAGTGTTCACCTAGCAGTAAGTAGGAACCTGGGTGTTAGTTACCTTACACCTGCTGTCAGTGTTCACCTAGCAGTAAGTAGGTACCTGGGTGTTAGTCACCTTACACCTGCTGTCACTGTTCACCTAGCAGTAAGTAGGTACCTGGGTGTTACTTACCTTACACCTGCTGTCAGTGTTCACCTAGCAGTAAGTAGGTACCTGGGTGTTAGTTACCTTACACCTGCTGTCAGTGTTCACCTAGCAGTAAGTAGGAACCTGGGTGTTAGTTACCTTACACCTGCTGTCAGTGTTCACCTAGCAGTAAGTAGGTACCTGGGTGTTAGTTACCTTACACCTGCTGTCAGTGTTCACCTAGCAGTAAGTAGGAACCTGGGTGTTAGTTACCTTACACTGCTGTCACTGTTCACCTAGCAGTAAGTAGGTACCTGGGTGTTAGTTACCTTACACCTGCTGTCAGTGTTCACCTAGCAGTAAGTAGGTACCTGGGTGTTAGTTACCTTACACCTGCTGTCACTGTTCACCTAGCAGTAAGTAGGTACCTGGGTGTTAGTTACCTTACACCTGCTGTCAGTGTTCACCTAGCAGTAAGTAGGTACCTGGGGGGTTAGTTACCTTACACCTGCTGTCAGTGTTCACCTAGCAGTAAGTAGGTACCTGGGTGTTAGTTACCTTAAACCTGCTATCAGTGTTCACCTAGCAGTAAGTAGGTACCAGGGTGTTAGTTATCAGTATAACTAACAGCATCAGGACAGGTAACAAAGAGAAGGTAACAAGATTCAGTATAACATCCTGGCGATCCATACGTCCTTAACCTATGCCCTCCAACAAGGTCGTGAACGATAACTCTCACATCTGTCGTCTCACAGTATATTAACACACACATGTATACCCAGTGAAGAGGCGGGGCCAGGAGCTACGACTCGACCCCTGCAACCTCAACTAGGTGAATACACACACACACAGATAATATTATATATATTTTATATAATATATATATATATATATTATATATATATATATATATATATATATATTTATATATATATATATATATGTTACCTGGCTGATCTCTGGGGAACTTAGTCATCAAGTTAGCCAGGTGTAACGACAGCTGCCACTTAGTATTTTCTAACTTCAAGTCCTGGATTAGTTTTCTAGGTTTTCGTTGGTTAAGTGGGCGTGATGTGGGCGGTGGTGTTGTCTGTGTGGGCGGGGTTGTGGGTGGTGGTTTGAGTTGGTGTGGGATGGGTGGTAATAGTGGTGGTGACGTCAGTTTGTTGGTGGTTGCGGTGGCTTGTGGGGGTTGGGTGGTGAGTGGTCGGTGGGTTATTAGTGGGTGGGTGGTATGTGGGTATGGTGGGTGGGTGGTGGTTGTCAGTGTGTCTTGTGTTGTGGTGGTGGGTGTGTGTCTCTCTCGAGCACCCATGGTGTCTAGATTATCTCTCTAGTTCTAGTGCTCTAGATTATTGTTTAAGACTTCTAGTGCTAGTTAAGACTGATAATCCTAGTTTAGTGCTCTAGGTTATCGTTTGAGACTTCCGTACTCGTTAAGCAGTGATAATCCATAGTTCTAGTGTCTAGTTATGGTGTAAGACTTCAGTGTCGTTAAGCATGATAAGCATAGTTCTAGTGCTCTAGATTATGTTTTAAGATTTCAGTGCTCGTTAAACACTGATAATATAGTTCTGTGCTCTAGATTACGTTAAGCTTTGTGTCGTTAACAGATTATCTCTCTAGTTCTAGTGCTCTAGATTATCGTTTAAGACTTCTAGTGCTCGTTAAGCACTGATAATCCACTAGTTCTAGTGCTCTAGATTATCGTTTAAGACTTCCAGTGCTCGTTAAACACTGATAATCCACTAGTTCTAGTGCTCTAGATTATCGTTTAAGACTTCTAGTAGTGCTCGTTAAACACTGATAATCCACTAATTCTAGTACTCTAGATTATCGTTTAAGACTTCTAGTGCTCGTTAAACACTGATAATCCACTAGTTCTAGTACTCTAGATTATCGTTTAAGACTTCTAGTGTTCGTTTAACAGTGTTAATCTACTCGTTCTAGTACTCTAGATATTCTAGATTGTCGTAAAAAACTTCTGATGTTCGTTTAACTATTTAAGAAATGGTCATTTCTTAAATAGAGAACTTTAAAGTGCCTCATGTATCTCATTTCCACCTAAAAATAGGATCTACGTTCCTCAATAGGTGCTGTGTAATAGGTATAACTAGTTATAATAATAATAATAATAATAATAATAATAATAATAATAATAATAATAATAATAATAATAATAATATTTATATCTACATGGTACAACTTATACAGACCATAACTCACACCTATGACAAACTACATGTAAAATTCCTGGTTATGTAGAGCATTTCCCACAACTTAGGTTAATTTTGTCCCTAGGATGCTACCCACACCAGTCACCTAACACCCAGGTACTTACTGCTAGGTGAATAGTGTCAGCAAGTGTAAGGTGACTACCACCCAGGTACCTACTTACTGCTAGGCGAACAGTGACAGCAGGTATTTGTAAGAGAAGTGATGCTGGGGTGTTGGCAAGAGGTGTGGAGTTAAAAGATAAAGAATCTAACACAAAGTGGGAGTTGTCACAGTTGCTATTTGCTGATGACACTGTGCTTTGGCAGATTCTGAAGACAAGTTGCAGAGGTTGGTGGATGAGTCTGGTAGGGTATGTAAAAATTGGAAATTATGAGTGAATATAGGAAAGAGTGAGGTTATGAGGATAACAAAAAGATTAGGTAACGAAAAATTGGATATCAGATTGGAGGGAGAGAGTATGGAGGAGGTGAATGTATTCAGATATTTAGGAGTGGACATGTCAGCGGATGGGTCTATGAAAGATGAGGTGAATCATGGAACTGATGAGGGGAAAAAGGTGAGTGGTGCACTTAGGAGTCTGTGGAGACAAAGAACTTTGTCCATGGAAGCAAAGATGGGAATGTATGAGAGTATAGTTATACCATCACTATTATATGGGTGTGAAGCATGGGTGATGAATGTTGTAACAAGGAGAAGGCTGGAGGCAGTGGTGGAGACTGGAGGCAGTGGAAGAGGAAGCTGGAGGCAGTGGAGGAGAAGGCTGGAGGCAGTGGAGGAGAAGGCTGGAGGCAGTGGAGATGTCATGTCTGAGGGCAATGTGTGGTGCGAATATAATGCATAGAATCCGTAGAATCCTCCTCAGCCCTCTGGGCTGAGGAGGAATTGTTGAGATGGTTCGGACATGTAGAGAGGTTGGCACGAAATAGAATGACTTCCAGAGTGTATAATCTGTAGTTGAAGGAAGGTAGTGTACGAATCGACCTAGGAAGGGTTGGAGGGAGGGGGTAAAGGAGGTTTTGTGTGCAAGGAGCTTAGACTTCCAGCAAACATGTGTGAGCGTGTTAGATAGGAGTGGAAGGAGACAGGTGGTTTTTAGGACTTGACGTGCTGTTAGAGTGTAAGTAAGGTAACATTTATTAAGGGATTCAGGGAAACCGCAGACCGGACTTGAGTCCTGGAGGTGGGAAGTACAGTGTCTACACTCTGAAGGATGAGTGAGGATGTTACAGTTCTGGAGGTGGGAAATACAGTACCTGTACTCTGAAGGATGAGTGAGGATGTTACAGTTCTGGAGGTGGGAAATACAGTACCTGTACTCTGAAGGATGAGTGAGGATGTTACAGTTCTGGAGGTGAGAAATACAGTACCTGTACTCTGAAGGATGAGTGAGGATGTTACAGTTCTGGAGGTGGGAAGTACAGTACCTGTACTCTGAAGGATGAGTGAGGATGTTACAGTTCTGGAGGTGAGAAATACAGTGCCTGTACTCTGAAGGATGAGTGAGGATGTTACAGTTCTGGAGGTGAGAAATACAGTGCCTGTACTCTGAAGGATGAGTGAGGATGTTACAGTTCTGGAGGTGGGAAGTACAGTACCTGTACTCTGAAGGATGAGAGAGGATGTTACAGTTCTGGAGGTGAGAAGTACAGTACCTGTACTCTGAAGGATGAGTGAGGATGTTACAGTTCTGGAGGTGGGAAGTACAGTGTCTGTACTCTGAAGGATGAGTGAGGATGTTACAGTTCTGGAGGTGGGAAGTACAGTGTCTGTACTCTGAAGGATGAGTGAGGATGTTACAGTTCTGGAGGTGGGAAGTACAGTACCTGTACTCTGAAGGATGAGTGAGGATGTTACAGTTCTGGAGGTGGGAAGTACAGTACCTGTACTCTGAAGGATGAGGGAGGATGTTACAGTTCTGGAGGTGGGAAGTACAGTACCTGTACTCTGAAGGATGAGTGAGGATGTTACAGTTCTGGAGGTGGGAAGTACAGTACCTGTACTCTGGAGGATGAGTGAGGATGTTACAGTTCTGGAGGTGGGAAGTACAGTACCTGTACTCTGGAGGATGAGTGAGGATGTTACAGTTCTGGAGGTGGGAAGTACAGTACCTGTACTCTGAAGGATGAGTGAGGACGTTACAGTTCTGGAGGTGGGAAGTACAGTACCTGTACTCTGAAGGATGAGTGAGGATGTTACAGTTCTGGAGGTGGGAAGTACAGTGTCTGTACTCTGAAGGATGAGTGAGGACGTTACAGTTCTGGAGGTGGGAAGTACAGTACCTGTACTCTGAAGGATGAGTGAGGATGTACAGTTCTGGAGGTGGGAAGTACAGTGTCTGTACTCTGAAGGATGAGTGAGGATGACACAGTTCTGGAGGTGGGAAGTACAGTACCTGTACTCTGAAGGATGAGTGAGGATGTTACAGTCCTGGAGGTGGGAAGTACAGTGTCTGTACTCTGAAGGATGAGTGAGGATGTTACAGTTCTGGAGGTGGGAAGTACAGTACCTGTACTCTGAAGGATGAGTGAGGATGTTACAGTTCTGGAGGTGGGAAGTACAGTACCTGTACTCTGAAGGATGAGTGAGATGTTACAGTTCGGAGGTGGAAGTACAGTGCTGTACTCTGAAGGATGAGTGAGGATGTTACAGTTCTGGAGGTGGGAAGTACAGTGTCTGTACTCTGAAGGATGAGTGAGGATGTTACAGTTCTGGAGGTGGGAAGTACAGTACCTGTACTCTGGAGGATGAGTTGAGGATGTTACAGTTCTGGAGGAGTGGGAAGTACAGTACCTGTACTCTGGAGGATGAGTGAGGATGTTACAGTTCTGGAGGTGGGAAGTACAGTACCTGTACTCTGAAGGATGAGTGAGGACGTTACAGTTCTGGAGGTGGGAAGTTACAGTACCTGTACTCTGAAGGATGAGTGAGGATGTTACAGTTCTGGAGGTGGGAAGTACAGTGTCTGTACTCTGAAGGATGAGTGAGGACGTTACAGTTCTGGAGGTGGGAAGTACAGTACCTGTACTCTGAAGGATGAGTGAGGATGTTACAGTTCTGGAGGTGGGAAGTACAGTGTCTGTACTCTGAAGGATGAGTGAGGATGACACAGTTCTGGAGGTGGGAAGTACAGTACCTGTACTCTGAAGGATGAGTGAGGATGTTACAGTCCTGGAGGTGGGAAGTACAGTGTCTGTACTCTGAAGGATGAGTGAGGATGTTACAGTTCTGGAGGTGGGAAGTACAGTACCTGTACTCTGAAGGATGAGTGAGGATGTTACAGTTCTGGAGGTGGGAAGTACAGTACCTGTACTCTGAAGGATGAGTGAGGATGTTACAGTTCTGGAGGTGGAAGTACAGTGTCTGTACTCTGAAGGATGAGTGAGGATGTTACAGTTCTGGAGGTGGGAAGTACAGTGTCTGTACTCTGAAGGATGAGTGAGGATGTTACAGTTCTGGAGGTGGGAAGTACAGTGCCTGTACTCTGAAGGATGAGTGAGGATGTTACAGTTCTGGAGGTGGGAAGTACAGTACCTGTACTCTGAAGGATGAGTGAGGATGTTACAGTTTCTGGAGGTGGGAAGTACAGTGCCTGTACTCTGAGGATGAGTGAGGATGTTACAGTTCTGGAGGTGGGAAGTACAGTTACCTGTACTCTGAAGGATGAGTGAGGATGTTACAGTTCTGGAGGGGGAAGTACATGTGCCTGTACTCTGAAGGATGAGTGAGGATGTTACAGTACTGGAGGTGGGAAGTACAGTACCTGTACTCTGAAGGATGAGTGAGGATGTTACAGTTCTGGAGGTGGGAAGTACAGTGCCTGTACTCTGAAGGATGAGTGAGGATGTTACAGTCACCTGCCTTGGTGGGCCACAACCGACGTGATAATTCTAACAACTAGTGATAATGTATGGGTATAACTAGCTAGTGCTGATTACTGTAACTAGAGGTAACTAGGAGAGTGTGTGACACGCTAGTGGGGTAATTAGGAACACGCAAACAGGGTTATTAGGTGAAGTGTGTGCGTTGTACCTTGCGGATGTTTACCTTGCTAGGGTCAACACCTGTCTTGGACATGTTT